TCCTGAGGTGGATATCTCAGGCCTGGAAGTCAGTGCCGGCCGAGCTGATAAAGCGATCCTTCCTCACCTGTGGCATCAGCAACGCGCTCGACGGCAGTGAGGACGGCCTCGCCATGGCGCACAGGCGGAGCCAGCTGACAGCGGAAGTGGATGTCGACGATGACATCATCGCTGATGGGTTTTTTGGGAACAACTGCGAGGAGCCTGAATCTGACGATGAGTAGACTTGTTAGGTAGAAGTGATGTTGCTAGACTTGCTGATTCGGGTCACTGATGTTGTAGCTGCTGTCTAGAAGTGTTATGTAAGTGATTTCAATGTAATTGTTTCTTAAAAGACTTATGATAATTCAAGGGTGGCGCTTATAATAAGTACAGAAATCTCAGGGGGGGCGCTTGTAATCGAGGTCCGGCCATAAGCGCCATGCTCCAGATAGAGGCGCCGGCGCCTATAATCGGACGGCGCCTATATCCGGGGCGATACGGTATGTCTTTGGAGGTACCGTCTTGAACCGAAAATGAGCACGACCCGACACATGCCACAACACAACATTTCACATCACCAGGAGAGTGCCACGAGGAATCAGAGCGCAAGGAATAATTTGTACAGACTTGTTTCTTTTTCCGCAGACTGCTCAGCTTCGCAATATCCTTGTGGCAATATCGTGCTTGCTCATCAACACCACCAGAGGCTCTACTTCACTCACACTCTGATTATTCAGGACAAGCTATCTTGTCTACTTCCCTTTCTTCTTCGGCAGCTTACTCAGCTTTACGATAGCGGTGTCATGCACTGCACATGCTTGATGCTCATCCCCACCACCACCTTATGCACATCCCATGAGGCGGAATCCCGGACTTCCGAGGGTCCTACTTCCCTTTCTTCTTAGGCAGCTTACTCAGCTTCACGATTGCTGTGTCATGCACGTGCTTGATGCTCATCGACAGCACAGGCTGATACACGAGTCAGTGTCTAGACTACTTCCCTTTCTTCTTAGGCAGCTTACTCAGCTTCACGATAGCGGTGTCATGCACGTGCTTGATGCTCATCGACACCACCACCTTATGCACCTCCGGCTCTGGCCGGTTGAAATTCAAAAAATAGAACCCGTCGTCAATCCGCCGAGGCCCCACGTCTTTCCTCGGGCAGCTCTTGAAATCTTTTATGCTGGTGTACAGTGACGATCCCGTATTCACTCCCAGGTCGTCGTTCGCGTAATCCAAAAACCTCGCAGCCGGAATATTCGTAATATTGACCTGTCGCTGATCGTTCAGTGGTCCCTCCTCCACAGCCGGTAAAACCTCGCAGTATTTGTAACCAACGTCCTTTCCTTATGTTTCCACCAGGACGATATTTAAGGTGTTTTCTGTAGGAAGGCCGCTGCATGCTCCGGTTTTTTTGGCTGGTAGCGTGCCTTTCCTCTTGACGTTGCACGGTTTGCCGTTGACGGTTTTCTGCCCGCAAACGTCCGGCCAGAAGGGGTATTTCTGGAAAGGGGGAGTTGGGCGGGGTATTTTTGAGTATGAAGGGAAAGAAAATCATACTCTTAATGCACAAGGGGCACGCCATTGATCACATAATGCTCCTGACATCTAGCATGCCATGTAACATAGAAAGTTCATTGCAACAATACCTGCCAAATCTGGGATGCTCCTCAAAGTGCTCCTCTCCCTCACCTCTTTAAACACCGGAGTGTCGTAGTACTGCTTCCTCATGAGCTCCCAGTACGTGCCGGGGTTCTTGTCACAGTTGAACACTAGAGGAGTCAAACACGAACTTTACCCCGGGGACCCGGGAACACCCCCCTTCACTACCTGCCTCTGCGTGACATCAATCCTCACTCGGGCTCTCAGGCTCTCATGTGCTCCTCAAGTCTTCCTCAGGTGACTCCTAAGGTACTTGTTCCTCACCTCTTGGAACACTGGTGTGTCGTAGTACTGTTTCCTCATGAGCTCCCAGTATGTGCCGAGGTTATTGTCACAGTTGAGCACCAGAGGAGTCAGACACGAACTCCAACCTGGGGATCCGGGCACCCAACCACTACCTACCGGTTAATATATCTCAGCGGACAAGCGAGTCCGCCCGGGGGAGCTCGCTGCCCGCGGGCAAAAACAATAAAACCCTATCGGGCATGCATCCGGTCAGGGAGGCATCAACCCTAAACACGGGGAGGCATGGTGTTTAGGGTTGATGCCTCCCTCGGATGGCATGCCATCCGATAGGGTTTTAGTTTTTTCTGCCCGGGGCAGCATGTCGTCAGGTCGTCGGAGGGTCGTCAGGCCTGACGACCCGTTTTGGCTGAGATTTTCCGCTTCTCACCTCTTGGAACACCGGAGTGTCGTAGTACTGCTTCCTCATGAGCTCCCAATACGTGCCGGGGTTCTTGTCACAGTTGAGCACCAGAGGAGTCAAACACGTGCTCCACCCTGGGGACCCGGGCACCTTCTTTATAATCACATCCTCTGCCCTGTTCCTGAAGGTTTGAACGGAGGGGGGGAAGGGGGGAGGGGGAGTGGAGGGGGAAGGGGGGGGAAAGGGGGAAGGGATAAGTGAGTCGTAAAGGTGTAATCATTGTTCGCTAACCAAATAATAATGGAGAGGAAGCGTACGGGGAGGAACAGCAGGAAAAGGTGAGGAGAAGGTGGGGGAAGTGAGACGAAGTTAAAAAGAGGAGAAAGGCAAGAAGAATGAACGTTTCAGGGAGAAGAGCAGCACACTTACCATTTACCGTTGTTGACCTTGATTCCATCGTATGTGTTTATGCAGGCACCTCCCTTGATAGCCACTCCCGACGTCACGAAATCAAGGTAGTAGCAATGGTCCCCGTTGAACACATAGTTACACTCCGCTGTGTTATCTGCTTAGACAGGCGGAGAGGAAAGGTGGAAGGAAAAGGGACAGGGAGGAGGGAAATGGGTGTGACGAGGTTGTAGCAATGATCCCCGTTGAACACATAGCTGCACTCTGCTGTGTTATCTATAATAGGCAGGAGGAGGGGAAAGAAATCAGGGGGTAAGGGGAAGGGGTGGCGGGAAATGGGTGTCACGAAACCAAGGTTGTCTAAGGGTGTCCACCCAGGTAAGTTGAGGGGCTGAACAAATTTGTACCAGGCCGTGAACCAACACCCTTACCAGGGCTGAACCAGTGCACACAGTAGTAGATGCCCGCAGCATCCTGATCCCCACCTCGGTTCCTCCCGGAAGCCACCACGAGGTTGCGGTCGATCTGCGTGAGCATGCAGTCTCCAGCAAAATGCACGTCGGAGCCGCAGCGAATGCCCGCGAATATGAAGTCGTGCACGTAGTTGTTTCGCACGATGACGCCGACGCTACCACGGTGGACCACTATAGGAGTGTTGACACCTGGAAGGGAGTGGTGGGTGAGGGGAGGGGAAAGAGAGGAGAGGGGAAGATGGGCCACGGGGAGATGAACACCTGCACATAGTTGTTTCGCACTATGGCGTCCATTGTAGGAACGTTGGCGCGGGGTATGGTACAGTTGGGGGGGGGGGAAGGGAGGCGGGGGTACAGAGAGAGTGTGTAGATGAAGTCATGCACTTAGTTGTTGCGCACATTGACAAGATTTTGCACATATCACATGCTTGAAATCCGAGTGGAGGAGAAAAGAGCATGTAAAGTTCACTCACCATACACTTCGTTGTTTGTTATAGCGATGAAGGATTTCGCGAGTGTAGGCCCGTGTCCACTGTACGTCACTTGAATCACGCCAGGCGACTGATTGAAGGTCGGAATCCCCGTTACACGCATGGAGTCCACTCGAGATGAAGCCGTGCGGTGTAGATCGATTCTCCCGAAAACACTCCCCTTCGCGATTTGAATTCCATAGGAACGAATCACGGAAATCGTTGGGCACTGCGCCTTGCCCGTAATTTCGGGTACAGTTGTGCAGGTTGGGGACGAGGAGCGAACGCTGAGCCTGAAATCCACCTTCAATACAAGCACGTTGCTCGTGTTCCATACACGCAGCACTGGCTCGTTCGCTCCCATGTGAGTGATTTGAAACGGGGTCGCGGCGGTCTTCGCGGATCGGAGAATCGTGCAGGAGTACTTGCTGTCGAAGAGGATACCCTTGCTTATAACGAGGTTTCTCTGTAGCTCGAGAATGACCGTTGTAACGGGAGTGAAGTTCAGTCTCTTGCTGAAATCCGCGAGAGAAGATATATTGATGACTGACGCTTTTACGTAGTCGGAGCAGGGACCATCCAGCCACGAATCAGCTGACGGAATGCAAAAAAGCGAGCAACGAGAGGTATGCGCTTTAGGTAAGTCTACAAAAACGAAAAGGTTTTCTTCAGGGTTAATCGGGTGAAAGTGAGCGCAAGGTGGCTTGACCTACACACGACAATGAAGATTCCGCTGGACTCACCCATCTGCCTTCGCTGCCCCATCGGCCTCTCCTCGCGCGCCACGTGTCCCTTCCATTTCCTCCACCCATGGCTCATCCCAACAGCAGCGGCTTCGGCACGGTCCGACGCCGCTCCAACTGCATCCGACGTCGCAGCGAGTTCGCTCCCGGTTGACCCCCCCGTCGTCGTTTCCGAAACGCGCCGCGTCTGAGCCGAATCTTGAGGCGGTTTAAAAAATCCCCACGTCGCTTTGCCCGAAACTTGAGACGTTTCAGAAGTCTCTCCCCACGTCTCATTGCCCGAGGCGAACAGAGAAGCGGACGGCGACAATATCGCCGTTAGGTCAGTCGATTGCTGACGTGGACGCGCCGAGGACGGCCATTGGTCCAGGAGGCGCCAGACGAGCCCGCGGTAATTGAGCACGGCTGTGGAGGGAAGGGGCGGGGGAGAGGCGGGGGTAGAGGGGTAGAGAAGGCGGGGAAGAGGGGGCGGGGGAGAAAGGACCGGAAGAAGGTTGGGTGGGAAGGAAGCAGAGAGAAAGAAGGGGAGGAAGGAAAGAAGGCGGGACTTGCACACACGCATGGAAGGACACCCACAAATCGGCGCTGCTAAGGCGTTTCTATTGCATCGACATACCTGAGGGCGTGAAGGCGAGGGCGCGGGGAGAGAGCGCGAGCGCGGCAACGGAGAGACAGACGAGCAGCGAGAGAGGAACCCTACTATGCGGATGCGCGACTCGTGTCGCGGCAATCATGGTGCGATAGAGAGTGGAACGATCTGGAATTATACGCAGTGTACTGCAAAAGCGCAGGCGCGGCCTGGCAGAGCCGAGAGCGACACCGCTGATTCTGATGTCCTAGACTATGTCGCGTAGCGGCCCGAGATAGCGCAGCTCAGTGGGACAATAGCTGATTCAGAGGCGGTGGCTGGAAACGATGGCGCGCGAAATAATTATATTTTCGAGACGCCTCGGATATACTCTTGTTACACGTGTTGGTACCGGAAACGATGACGAACGAGGGACTTTAATACTTCTAGATTGTGAAAGTACATTCGATCTGGAGGGTCTGCTGCAGAGGTGCGAATTCTAGCAGGTCTCGAAGGCTTGTCAGTAAGTGCTGGCCGGCTGCTGCGGTGAGTAAGACCCCGAGCCGCCATTCTAGGTCTTCGATTAGCTGGAGGAAAATGCGGTCAGGTGACGGACAGGTAGAACCTCAGGTGGCAGTGAGGTAGGTTGTTTGTGAATCCGTCGGCGGGTGACAGGTGGAACTACAGTGCGCATTAGAAGCGTGGTTCGCGCTGCGTAGTTATGAACCAATTGTAACGAACAGATTGAAGTCAAAATGAAGAGACTGAAGTCAAAATGTCAACGGATAAGGTTACAGATCCTTTTATAAGCACCTGCGAATCCTTTTTAGCTAGCTGCGAATTGACGAAACTTATGCGAAATGCACGATACAGCTTATACGCCCCCTTCACAAGGCAACCGGGAGGGGCTCAATCAGGCATCATGTGTACTGCACGGCATTTCTGAAGGGGAGGGAAGGGAAGGTCTTCTCCTCCCCTTCCCCCCACCCCCATCCCACCCCACTCCACCTGTCCCAGAAAACAGCTGGCTGGAGATGCGAAGAGAAGCGCATTGGAACGTTCTGGGTCGTACAAAACCGTGGAAAACGCGTTTTGAAATCTGAATGTTAGGCATCTTTCGGACAGGATGTATTTCACCATAACAAGGTAGGAAAATGCATCGTCCATAGTGCAGGATGTGTGCATGCAGACGTCATGGCGACACCATCACGTTGCGTAACGTGATGTGGTGCGAGCGACACCTACGAGGAATTGCCAAAGAGATAGACTTCGCTAGACCTCGTAGGTGATGGTGCAACTCCAGTCGAATTGCCACTTTGCGAAATCAAGCGTCTGTTACGTTCCGTAATTTCGTCGCCCAATCAGGAGGATATGCAAAAACAAATCTGATTGGGACACGAGAAAATGTTGTACCGGTATGCCATAAGGTTCAAGGCTAATAACGGATCTAGTATTTGGAAGTATTTTCTTCTATCCTTACTACGCACTGTCTTCACTCATGTCAACAACCCAACAAATGGAGCAGAACCTTGAATTGTGAGCTGAAACTGAGCATGCTGAATGCTATTGCTGCGAAGAATCACAGGGCGGGCATGAATTCTTGCCGTACACATAATGGACAACTGTCGGAAGCTCGGATATCGGACTCCCAGGGGTCCTACTTCCCCTTCCTTTTCGGCAGCTTACACAGCTTCACGGTATCAGTGTCATGCTCACCGACAGAGCAGGCTCGACTCCACACTTTGATTCACAAGTCGGTGTTCAAACTAAACCACTTCCCTTTGTTCTTAACGCGCATCATCATACAGTTCAGTTCTTCTACCAAGTCAGAAGTTAACATCCTCCATTAAAGCTCTATCCCAGGCGTTGCCTCCAGCAACACTGCACGGCCAGCAGCCATCATTGCCAGTGCAGCAGCAAAGCCTGCTACATACCGGACAGTGCGGGCAAGGCGGTAATTTATGACTGCTCTGATCTCATCCTAAATGGCGGGCTGATGCGACGTATGAAATGAACGGGAGAAAGAGGAACCAGATTACACCTGCAAACACAAGAACGGATGCGGAGTAGACGGAATGACAGCTTCTGAGGGTGGGAGCAGCAGAGGGTGAGAGCAGCAGAGGATGAGAGCAGCAGAGGGCGAGAGAAACAGAGGGCGAGGGAAACAGAGGGTGAAATGGGCAGTGTGTGAGCGCAACAGAGGGTGAGAGCAACAAAGGGTGAGAGCAGCAGAGGGTGAGAGCAGCAGAGGGCGAGAGAAACAGAGGGTGAGAGCAACAGAGTGTGAGTGAGGGTGAGAGAATCAGGAAGTGAGAGAAACAGAGCGTGAGAGAAACATAGGTTGAGAGCAACAGAGGGTGAGAGCAGCAGAGGGTGAGAGCAGCAGAGGGTGAGAGGAGCAGAGGGAGAAAGAAAAAGAGGGTGAGAGCAGCAAAAGGTGAGAGCATTAGAAAGTGCGAGAATCATAGGGTGAGAGCAGCAGAGGGTGCGTGAGGGTGAAAGAATCAGGGAGTGAGGGAAACAGATGGTGAGAGCAGCATAAGGTGAGAGCAGCAGAGGGTGAGAGCAGCAGAGGGTGAGAGCAGCAGAGGGTGAGAGAACAGAGGGTGAGAGAAACAGAGGGTGAGAAGTAGCAGAAGGTGAGAGCGGGTGAGTAAGGGTGAGGAATTTAGGGGGTGAAAGAAACAGAGGGTGAGAGAAACAGAGAATGAGAGAAACAGAGGGTGAGAGCAGCAGAAGGTGAGAGCAGCATTAAAGTGCGGGAAACAGACGGTGAGAGCCAGAGTGGTGAGAAAAACGGAGGGCGAGGGCAGCAGAGGGTGAGAGAGGGTGAGGCAATCAGGGGGTGAGAGAAACAGGGGGTGGGAGAACAACAAAGGTCGAGTGAAACAGAGAGGGATTTTCGTACTAATGCTGTAGTAGAACGCGCCCTGATTCGGCGGGTTTTAAGGATCTCGCCAGGGTCGTCTTAGAGACCTACGACGCGACTCTCCTCCTGATGCATCACAGCGGGCTTTAGGGCTGACTGTACTTAAACGCTGCGAAAGCCGTGGTGTACAGGCGCCATGTGGTAACCACCAATTGTAGAGCTACTTATGTAACCCACTACAAGTGATGGCCTACTGAAATGGTCGCGAGCCTCGAATGCATCACCCTCCACGCTACTAACGCCTTCACACCCAGACCACTACGATCCGGGTTGTTTCTGAGAATTCTCAAAAACAACTTACGGTACACCCAGACCACTATGACCAGGGTCAAGCCCACGCTGTCACGAACCGGGTCATTCCCACGCTGTCACGAACCGGGTCAAGCCCACGCTGTCACGAACCGGGTCATTCCCACGCTGTCACGAACCGGGTCAAGCCCACGCTGTCACGAACCGGGTCATTCCCACGCTGTCACGAACCGGGTCATTCCCACGCTGTCACGAACCGGGTCATGCCCACGCTGTCACGAACCGGGGTCTTGACTCCACAGTTTTCTCCCTGTCGAACCGCCTTAGGTCTCTTGAATATCAACATTCAGACTATATGCATATTTTGCGGTAAATGCTTCCGATTGGTCACTGTTTGTTCTCGATTCAGGTTGCTTGAGGTTCAGGTGCTCGTTGCGAGACCGCGATTGACAGCTGAATCGAACCATACGAAATTAGCACCCGTACCGTATCGAATCGTACTGAAGAATGAAACACCTTTCCGTACCGTACGTAGATCGGCATTGAAGATTCGCAGGTTGCGGAGCATCTCCACAACACGCCACGCTGTCACCCGAGGCCCACACCCCACTCTTGGCGAAGGGTTTGAAAGACTAGTCATCGATTCCAGCAGCTAGAGTTTCGATATCAGCCGTGAGTCACACACATAGCGAACTATTCTTTCGCCTTTTACTAAAGAATACCGTGTGTGTTTCTCATCAAGCGGCGTACATCAATTTTTGGAGTGCCTTTTCCAGGGCACCACAAATTAATATAAAATGGTATTTGAAGTGGAATATACCAATAAAAAAAAAGAATAATCAGACGTTGGCTATGGCTATTTCCATACCAATTGGCTAGAATATTCTATGAAGTCAGGATGAGAGCTGTGAGTAAGTTAATTTGCCTGCTTGACACATTAGAAGTAGCACTAGATAACACCGTATACAAGCATACACTTCAGTTCTTTTACCTAGTCTAAAGTTAACATCCTCCATAATTGCTCTATTCCTAGCCTGCACCTTTGCAGCTATCCCAGGCGTTGCTTCCAGCAACACAGCACGGCCAGCGGCCATCACTGCCAGAGCAGCAGCAAAGCCTGCTACATACCGGATAGTGCGGGCAGGGCGGTAGTTTATGACTGCCCTGATCTCATCCCAACTGGCTGGTTGATGCGACATCGGAATTGAACAAGAGGCTGAGGAACAGGATTACACCTGCAGACACAAAAACGAGGGTGGTGTGGTGTATGATGGTTGGAAATGAGATGAGATTCAGAGGGTGAGAACAGCAGAGGGTGACAGCAGCAGAGGGTGAGGGCGGTAGGGGGTGAGAGCAGCAGAGGGGGGAGAAACGGAGGGTGAGAGCAACAGGGGGTGAGGGAAAAGGTGAGCAACAGAAGGTGAGAGCAACAGAATGTGAGCGAAACAAAGGTGAGCGAATCAGAGGGTGAGAGCAGCAGAGGGTGAGAGCAGCAGAGGGTGAGAGAAACAGAAGGTGAGAGAAACAGGGGGTGAGAGAAACAGAGGGTGAGAGAAACAAAGGTTGAGAGATACAGAGGGTGAGAGAAACAGAGGTCAAGAGAAAACAAGGGTGAGAGAAACAGAGGGCGGGAGAAACAGACGTTGAAAGAAACAGAGGGTGGGAGAAAAAGGGTGAGAGAAACAGAGGTTGAGAGAAAAAGAAAATGAGAGAAACAAAGGGTGAGAGAAACAGAGGGTGAGAGAAACAGACGGTGAGAAAAACAGAGGGTGAGAAAAACAGGGAGTGAGATAAACAGAGGGTGAGAAAAACAGGGGATGAGATAAACAGAGGGGGCAGGGACCAGTCAGTCTCGCAGAGGCGGAGGCCACACCTGCCGCGAACCGCACCAGACCGGGCCGGACCGGACTACGGACGGGCGAGGCGGCGAATGGATGGATGGATGGAGGGCACGGCGAAATTCTATGTCGTTCGGCGAAAGAATCGGCGCCGAAATTGGATTCGCATTTCGCGGTCAAAAGCAAGCAATCTGCCTGCCGCTCATAGCGAGACCGCGTTTTGCGGGGAGATTCCGAAACGAACTAATGTGCGACTGGTGAGGAAGCGTATACGGAGCTACGGAAGCTCAAACGTAGTGCGAGAAGAAACGGTTGAAAAGTAAAAATAGGAGAAGGTGCATGCGAGCCGCTCGGTCGTCAATTTGATGTGCCAGAACCCTAAGCGTGACGCTTCTCGTCAGGCTGAGCTGTACACCGTCTAACGTGTCACGAATCTTAGCGCTGCTATCAAAAAGCAAATGTCGCGGTTCGACCTGTCGTCCGGAATCTGACGCTAGGATTCGCGGCACTCACGGTGCACGTAGTACTCTGGACCAAGAGAAAGTGCGAGGGAAGCGAGCGACCTAGGAAATCTCTCATCAACTACGATATTCGTTATTAGCTGTGAGTCTTGCGGCATACAACAATCTAACGAGTCATAAAGCCACCGACAATAACTGAGTATCGTGTATGTACCAACCACAACCTCCTGGTTGAGCGAATATGTGGATGGTAACCGTCGCTTGTGTCGCAAACGTCAAATTTGACTGTAGTCAGAACGTCGCGTAAGAGGTTTAGCGAAGTCGAGCTCTTGGGCGTTCCTCCTTGCTGTCGCCATGAAGTCTGCACATCATACACCATGGATGGAGGATGCATTTTGCTAACTTGTTATGAGTATTGCACAGTTCTGTCGCAGAAAGTTCCAGTGCGCTTCAGTACGGTGAAATTTCGAAAAACGAGCAGATGTAGCACGCTGAGCTCCAAACCAAAGGCTAGGTTTCGTGTGGTGTGGTCAACAGATACGGCGCCATAGACGTGCCTCTCTCTGCATCTCCAGCCAGCTGTTTTCTGGGACAGGTGGGGAGGAGGGGAATACCTTGCGGTCCTTGCCGAATATCCTCCCTCTCCCCGCCCTCACCCTCGGAGATGCCGTACATTGCACTCCACATAAGAGGAAACCACGCTTTTAGTGCGCACTGATAAGGTAGTAGTACCACCTGTCACCTGCCGACGGAATACAAACAACCTGACTGCCACCTGAGGTACTGCTATACCTGCCTATCACCTGACCGCATTTTCCTCCATCCAATTACAGACCTAAGATGGCGGCTCGGGTTCTTTCCTCCTACCACATTAGCCGGCCAGCGCGCATTGACAAACCTTCGCGACCTGCTGCTAGAATACGCAGCTCTGCAGCAGACCCTCCAGATCGAACGTACGCTTCGCAACCTACAAGTAGAGTCTCTACGCGCGCTATCGTTTCCGAACACCAACGCGTTCACGAGACGATTCTTGAGGTGTCTCAAAGTAGACTTTCGCTTCTAGCCACCACCTTCTAACCACCACCTCTGAAACAGCTGACTTTCCGGAAAATCTTTGCTACCTACGGCTGTTACGCGACAAAGTTGTTCACCAATCAGCTGTCACGCGACACGGTGTCGATCTCGCCTGCGGCTTCCAACCCGCGCATGCGCTTTTGCAGTACACTGCGTAAAATCGCATTATCCAGATTCCTTCACTCTTTATCGAACGCTCTATCTCGCCATGATGGCCGCGGCACGCGGCGCGCGTCCGCATAGGGTTCCTCTCTCGCTGCTCGTCTGTCTCGCCGTCGCGCTCGCGCTCTCTCCCCGCGCCCTCGCCTTCACGCCCTCAGGTATGTCGATGCAATTGAAAACGCCTTAGCGGGTGTGCTCTCCTCCTTCCGGTTTGAGGGTGTGCTCTCGACGGTTTGCAAGTCCCGCCTTTCTTCCTTCCTCCCCGTCTTTCTCTCCCGCTTCCCTCCCACCCAGCCTTTTTCTGTCCCTTTCTCCCCACCTCCTCTCCCCCACCTCGTCGTCCCCCGCCTCCTCGCTCCCCGCCTGCTCTCCCCCGCCTCCTCGCCCCCGCCGCTCTTCCCCGCCTCCTCTCTCTCGCCATCCCGTCTCCTCCTCGCTTCCTCCCCCCCGCCTTCTTTCTCCACAGCCGTGCTCAATTACCGCGGGCTTGTGTGGCGCCTCCTCGACCAATGGCAATCGTCTGACCTAACGGCGATATCGTCGCCGTCCGCTTCTCTGTTCGCCGCGGGCAACGAGACGCAGGAGGGGACTTCTGAGACGTCTCAAGACTCGGCGAATGCGACGTGGGGATTCTTTGAACAATCTCAACATTCGGCTCGTTCCACGTGGGAGACGCGGGACGTTTCCGAGGCAACGAGGGGAAAGTCAACCGGGGAGTCAACCGGGGAGTCAACCGGGGAGTCAACCGGGGAGTCAACCGGGGAGTCAACCGGGGAGTCAACCGGGGAGTCAACCGGGAGCGAACACGCTGCGACGTCGGATGCGGAGAGAGCGGCGTTGGACCGTGCCGAAGCTGCTGCTGTTGGGATGAGCCGTGGGTGGAGGAAATGGAAGGGACACGTGGCGCGCGAGGAGAGTCCGTTGGGGCAGCGCAGGCAGATGGGTGAGTTCTGCGGAATCTGCGTTGTCGTGTTTAGGGAAAGCCCCCCTCTGCGTTCACTCTCACCCGATTAATTCTGAAGGGTACCTTGATTTTGTAGACTTGACCTGAAGCGCATATACCGTACCTAATTCAATCGTGTTTTTCGTCCCCTTGTTGCTCTCTTCCTCATTCCGTCAGCTGATTCGTGGCTGGATGGTCCCTGCTCCGACTACGCGAAAGCCCCCGTCATCAATATAACTTCTATCGCGGATTTCAGCAAGCGAACGAGTTTTACACCGGTTACAACGGTCATCCTCGAACTACAGAGGAACCTCGTTATAAGCAAGGGGATTCTGTTTGACGGCACTTTCTCGTGCACGGTTCTCCGATCCGCGAAGACCGCCGCGACCCCGTTTCAAATCACTCACATGGGAGCGAACGAACCGGTGCTGCGTATATGGAACACGAGCAACGTGCTTGTATTGAAGGTAGATTTCAAGCTCAGCGTTCGCTCCTCGTCCCCAACCTGCACCACTGTACCCGAAATATATGATAAGGCGCAGTGCCCGACGATTTCAGTTATCCGTTCTTACGGAATTCAAATCGCGAAGGGGAGTGTTTTTGGGAGAATTGATCTACACCGCACGTCGTCATCGCGAGTTGACTCCATGCGTGTAACCGGGATTTCGACCTTCGATCAGTCGCCTGGCGTGATTCAAGTGACGTACAGTGGACACGGGCCTACACTCGCGAAATCCTTCATCGCTATAACAAACAATGAAGTGTATGGTGAGTACAACTTCACACTTCCTGCTTTGCTCCATGAGGCTTTCAAGCACTTGCATGCTCCATGAGGCTTTCAAGCACTTGCATGTGATGTGTGCAAAATCTTCTCCTTGTGGCACCGTGGGTGCCGTAGTGCGAAACAACCACGTGCACAACTTCATCTTTGCTTTTCTACTCCCCTTCTCCCCCTCCTTCCAGGCTTCAACTCTCCTAAAGCCATTCACCGCGGCACAGTGGGAGCCATCTTGCGAAACAACTACGTGCACGACTTCATATTCGCCGGCATCCCACATGCACTTTGCTCCCTACTCCCTTGCTCTTCCTTCCTCCAGGTGTGAACACGCCCATCGTCGTCCACAGGGGAGCCGTGGGCGTCATCGTGCGAAACAACTACGTGCACGACTTCATATTCGCGGGCATCCGCTGCGGCTCCGACGCGCACTGTGCGGGCGACTGCATGCTCACGCAGATCGACCGCAACCTCGTGGTGGCTGCAGGGAGGAACAGATCCGGGGATCAGGATGCGGCCGGGATCTACTTTTGCGTGCACTGGTTCAGCCCCGGTGAGTCGTGAGGGCTGGCTGGTTCAGCTCTGGTGAGGGTTGATTCAGCCCAGGTGAGGGTTGATTCAGCCCAGGTGAGGGTTGATTCAGCCCAGGTGAGGGTTGATTCAGCCCAGGTGAGTGTTGGTTCAGCCCAGGTGAGTGCTGGTTCAGCCCAGGTGAGTGTTGGTTCAGCCCAGGTGAGTGTTGGTTCAGCCCAGGTGAGTGTTGGTTCAGCCCAGGTGAGTGTTGGTTCAGCCCAGGTGAGTGTTGGTTCAGCCCAGGTGAGTGTTGGTTCAGCCCAGGTGAGTGTTGGTTCAGCCCAGATGAGTGTTGGTTCAGCCCAGGTGAGTGTTGGTTCAGCCCAGGTGAGTGTTGGTTCAGCCCAGGTGAGTGCTGGTTCAGCCCAGGTGAGTGTTGGTTCAGCCCAGGTGAGTGTTGGTTCAGCCCAGGTGAGTGTTGGTTCAGCCCAGGTGAGTGTTGGTTCAGCCCAGGTGAGTGTTGGTTCAGCCCAGGTGAGTGTTGGTTCAGCCCAGGTGAGTGTTGGTTCAGCCCAGGTGAGTGTTGGTTCAGCCCAGGTGAGTGTTGGTTCAGCCCAGGTGAGTGTTGGTTCAGCCCAGGTGAGTGTTGGTTCAGCCCAGGTGAGTGTTGGTTCAGCCCAGGTGAGTCGTGTGCAGCCCAGGTGAGGGCTGCTTCAGGCCGGGTACCTTTCTGATTTGGCCCTTTCCTCATCTCTCATCTCTCTTCCCTTCTTTCCTCTGCCCCTCCCCTCTTGCTCCTGATATGCAGATAACACAGCGGAGTGCAACTATGTGTTTAATGGGGATCAATGCTACTACCTCGATTTCTTAACACCCAATTCCCTCCGCCTCTTCCCCTTGCCATTCCCCTCTGCTTTTTCCCCTCCGCCCTTGTAAACAGACAACACAGCGGAGTGTAACTATGTTTTTAATGGGGACCAATGCTACTGCCTCGATTTCGTGACGTCGGGAGTTTCAATCAAGGGAGGCGCCTGCATAAACACATTCGCTGGCGTAAGGAAGGGCAACAACGGAAAATGGTACGTATGCTGCCTCTCCTTTTCAGCGTACTAGTTTTCTTTACCTCTCTCCATCTCCTGTCCCCGTCCCGCCCCCTCCCCGCCCCCTTCCCCCCCCCCCCCTTCCCCATCTCCACCCTATCCTCCTCCTCCTATTTCTCACCCCCCCATTTTTTTTGGTCAGCACGAAGCATTCTTACATGTTCCGTTTTCTCGTCCCCCACCCCTCCGTTCAAACCTTCAGGAACAGGGTAGAGGATGTGATTATAAAGGAGGTTCCCGGGTCCCCACCCACCCTCCCCCATGTCCGCCCTATCCTCCCTTTTTTTTTTTTTTGGTCTGCACCAATTATTCTTACCTGTTCCACTATCCAATCCCCATCCCTCTCCGTTCAAACCTTTAGGAACAGGGTAGAGGATGTGATTATGAAGAAGGTTCCCGGGTCCCCACCCACCCTCCCCCATCTCCTTGTTCCACTCTCTCATCCTCCACCCCTTCGTTCAAACCTTCAGGAACAGGGTCGAGGATGTGATTATGAAGAAGGTTCCCGGGTCCCCACCCACCCTCCCCCATCTCCTTGTTCCACTCTCTCATCCCCCACCCCTTCGTTCAAACCTTCAGGAACAGGGTCGAGGATGTGATTATGAAGAAGATGTCCGGGTCCCCACCCACCCTCCCCCAACTCAACCCTCTCTCATCCCCCACCCCTCCGTTGAAACCTTCAGGAACAGGGTCGAGGATGTGATTATGAAGAAGGTGCACGGGTCCCCACCCACCCTCCCCCAACTCAACCCTCTCTCATCCCCCACCCCTCCGTTCCAACCTTCAGGAACAGGGTCGAGGATGTGATTATGAAGAAGGTGCCCGGGTCCCCGGGGTGGAGTTCGTGTTTGACTCCTCTGGTGCTCAACTGTGACAAGAACCCCGGCACGTACTGGGAGCTCATGAGGAAACAGTACTACGATACTCCAGTCTTTAAAGAGGTAATAATGATGAATAGCATGTCTAGAACCCCGGCACGTACTGGGAGCTCATGAGGAAACAGTACTACGACACGCCAGTGTTCCGAGAGGTAAGGAAGGAGAAGATCAGCTGAGGAGCACGCGAGAGTCATTGCGAGCCTGTGTGACATAGAGGCACTTACTGGGAACTCATGCGGAAACAGTACTTCTATACTCCGGTGTTTCAAGAGGTAATAATGATTGATAGCATGTCTAGAACCCCGGCTCGTACTGGGAACTCATGCGGAAACAGTACTGCGATACGCCAGTCTGCAAAAAGGTGAGGAAGAAGCACCTGAGGATTCACCTGAAGAGCACCTGAGGTTTGTACTGCAAGCTCATGTGCAAGAAATAGCATGACACCCTCCTCCCACTTCCAAAAAAGAGGTGACTTTTTTGTCGACCCAAAAAAGAGGTGATTTTTCAGTCAAGACTCAAAAACAGTACCATGACACCCTTCTCTTCCAGGGGGTGAGACGTGCATAAGGAGCACCCTGAGGAGCACGTGAGAGTTTGAAAGCCTGAGTTGGCTTCAATTGAGTCGACTCAAAAACACGTGAATAAGGAGCACCTTGAAAAGCACGTGAGAGTTTGAGAGCCTGAGTTGGCTTCAATTGAGTCGACTCAAAAACACGTGAATAAGGAGCACCTTGAGGAGCACGTGAGAGTTTGAGAGCCTGAGTTGGCTTCAATTGAGTCGACTCAAAAACACGTGAATAAGGAGCACCCTGAGGAGGAGCACGTGAGAGTTTGAAAGCCTGAGTTGGCTTCAATTGAGTCGACTCAAAAACACGTGAATAAGGAGCACCTTGAAAAGCACGTGAGAGTTTGAGAGCCTGAGTTGGCTTCAATTGAGTCGACTCAAAAACACGTGAATAAGGAGCACCTTGAGGAGCACGTGAGAGTTTGAGAGCCTGAGTTGGCTTCAATTGAGTCGACTCAAAAACACGTGAATAAGGAGCACCCTGAGGAGGAGCACGTGAGAGTTTGAAAGCCTGAGTTGGCTTCAATTGAGTCGACTCAAAAACACGTGAATAAGGAGCACCTTGAAAAGCACGTGAGAGTTTGAGAGCCTGAGTTGGCTTCAATTGAGTCGACTCAAAAACACGTGAATAAGGAGCACCTTGAGGAGCACGTGAGAGTTTGAGAGCCTGAGTTGGTTTCAATTGAGTCGACTCAAAAACACGTGAATAAGGAGCACCTTGAGGAGCACGTGAGAGTTTGAGAGCCTGAGTTGGCTTCAATGTCGCTGAGCGTTCTAGGCGAGATAAAGCAAAAGCATGGCGCTTTGCATGCATACTCACCTCTCCTCCTCGCTCTTAACCTACCCATCCACGTCCCCCCCTTTCCAGAAATACCCGTTCTGGCCGGACGTTTGCGGGCAGAAAACCGTCAACGGCAAGCCGTGCAACGTCAAGCGGAAAGGCACCCTACCAGCCGAAAAAACCGGAGCATGCAGCGGTCTTCCTACAGAAAACACCCTAAACCTCGTCCTGGTGGAAACAGAGGGAAAGGACGTTGGGTACAAATACTGCGAGATTTTACCCGCTGTGGAGGAGGGACCACTGAACGATCAGAGGCAGGTCGATGTTACGGATATTCCGGCTGCGAGGTTTTTGGATTACGCGAACGACGACCTGGGGGTGAACGCGGGATCGTCACTGTACAGCAGCATAAAAGATTTCAAGAGCTGCCCGAGAAAGGACGTGGGTCCGCGGCGGATCGACGACGCGTTCTATTTCTTGAATTTTAATCGGCCGGAGCCGGAAGTGCATAAGGTGGTGGTGTCGATGAGCATCAAGCACGTGCATGACAAGGATATTGTGAAGTTGAGTAAGCTGCCTAAGAAGACGGGGAAGTAGACTACCGTTCATAGCATCTGGTGTCGATGAGCATCGAGCATGCGCACGACACTGATAGCCAGCAGGCACATTGCTTTTAAATCGCAGTTGCAGCAGGAGGTGCAGCAGGCGATGGCACAGCTGCAGGCCATCCGGCACCAGCTGCACTCGGGAGTCAGCCTGCTGCACATGCCACCTGCTCCCCATGCTTCCCATGCAACCCATGCATCACATGCATCACATGCACCCCATGCACCACATGCATCACATGCATCCCAAGCATCACATGCACCACACACACCCCATACACCACATGCATCACACACACCTGCTGCATCGCACATGCCATTCACGCCAAACACATACCTTTCATCCACACCGCACTCCACAATCTCCTATGCCACATCAGATGCCGCCCACACTGCGCCACATGCACCCATATGCTTCCAACCCATGGACCCCCCCAGACACCTATCTCCGGCTGTAGCGGCTGCTGTAGCTGAATCTGCTGCAGCAGCTTCAGGGGCAGCAGGAGCAGCAGGGGAAGCAGGGACAGGAGCAGCGGCAACAGTAGGAGTGACAGGAGCACCAGGAGCAGGGTCACCGGGTGGCAATGATTTGCCTCCATGGGTGCTACCCATCTCTGCTGCTGCAGCTGGTTTGCTGCCTCCAAAGAAAGGTAAGCTTCTTCTTTGTTTTCCTTATGCATCCATGGGTGCTGCTGCCCATCTCTGCTGTTGCAGCTGGTTTGCTGCCTCAAAGAAATGTAAGCTTCTTTGTTTTCCTAACTGCTAACCTGATAATGAGCGGGAGCTTCAAGATAGGTTCAACATTATATCATTACTTGAGCTACACTGAAATTCTTTTCGTCGTTATTTATTTAATTTACACCACATGCCTGAAATATTCATCTACGGTATTCACAAATCACCATCCAGTCAGCCTCCCTCTCCTTGCTCACGTTTCCAACAGGTGGGTTCGCTCTGAGTGGGTCTGATATAATGGCAGAAGCCATAGCAGAGGAAAGGGTTGCGAGGGAGGCACACACGTTTGTATCCAGCAGCACTTCGATAAATAGCTTGCCTAGACAAAAATAGCATGGACTGTGGAAATTTAGTTTCAGAATGTTTTTTCCTCTCTGAATGTGCAGTTTTAGTGCGAAGACATGAGTCTGATGCATCCCTACTGTACCAACAGCAACACAATATTCCTATAATAGGGAAATGAACAAGACAACCAGCATGATCAGTTGAGTTCATATGCTCATGACGCAATTATTACTTGCCTTCTACTAGCACAGTATACACAATATATGAGAGTTCTTACTTGCTGTAAGTGAACTACGTGTTCATCGAAGCGTTCACATCCGCGTGCAAGTTTCAAAGAGCCAAATTTGACAGAAGTGATGAGTTCGACATTCCCTTGGTTTCTTCAGACAAATTCCATGAGCCCTCCATTCGAGGCTCCAGCTCATAAACAAAAGCTCGTTGCACGAACATTGTCCAGATTTCGCTTCCCGTATGCCATTGACTGAGAAGGTCGAATCGATTCTGCTATCCACCATGAAGAAACGCACGGGCTTCCAGGTCGCGACGCTGAAATCGCCTCCTCCGCAGGCGAAGCAAGCTGAGGAGAAGAAGACTCCGACGAAAGCGCCTAGCGGCTCTTCGAGGTCCGTACTTTGTGAAGATATTGCACTATCGAACATCAATAGTAGACGATGCTGAACGCCCACATTTTCTGTCGAATTTTGCAGTTCATCCAGCTCAGGCTCCTCAAGCTCAAGCTCCGACACAACAGCAGCTGTAACAAAGGAATGCAAGGGAGACGAAGTTACATCCGTGCCACGACCTCCTTCCGTAGATGGTGCGACAAATCAGGCGCTGGAGCCTTTGAAATGCTCAACTCCTGGTATGTTCGAGCTCATAGATGCACGCAATTGTCTACACTGAGTCTCCACTGGCTAAGTTCATTCCGCCACTCCATTCACTCAGATGTTGCTAAGGAGGGAGTTGACGAAAAGGGAAAAGCGAAGTCTTCTGCTGCGTGAGTACCATATGATCGTTTGATGTCGTTTTTTATAGGTTTTCTCATCACAGCCTGTGTGTTTCAGCTCATCAAGCTCGTCGGGTTCCAGCACGACAGAGAATGGGAAGGAAACCAAGCCAGATAAGGATATCGAAGTCCAGTCCGAGAAAAAAGAATTGCCAAAGGCCCAAGCAGAAGACTCTGCGCAGGTTACCACCCCAACCCTTACGGAGCTGAATGACAAGGTGGATACAAATAACATTGACTCAAAATCCCTGTTGGAGGTCAACGACGCATTGAAGACACTGGATACCATGACTTCAAACCTTGATGGTGCGGAAAGCGTCAAAAGTCCACCTGGCTCACAGAGCCAGTCGAAGAAGGGTATGAAGATTATGCGACGTTGACATCTGAAAGTCTGATTTGATGACATCGTACTCACAGTTCATGGAATTTGCAGGGACGACCACTGTACTGATGGAGAAGGCACACACTGACGAAGAGCCAAAGTAAGTCTTGTGACAAGAGCACACGTAGTATGCACCTTTAGCCTTTCGTGAGCACTTGACAACGCATTGATTGTTTCAGAATTCCTGAAATACTGATGAGTGATGGACCAAAGCAACTCGACCAAAGCTCAAAGGTTGAGAGAAATGATGCTGCATCAGCCAGTGATGCTGCTGGACCAACAAAAGAAGGTAAGTATAACCCGGGTCAGAAATTCTTGATTTGAACGCTGCATAGACCCTCATTAGGATTTGTTATGGCAGAAACAACAGTGGCTGCAGCAGTCGTGAAGGGTTCTGACGCTGACGCACAGAAAAATGACGGTTCCGCTGAAACTGTCAAACGTGCGGAGGTTGGAGACAAGGATAAGAATGCACCCGAGGAAGACACTGACCATGGTGAAGAAGCCAAGAATTCAAGTGCGAAGAAGTTATCCAAGAAGGGGTCATCATCGGGAAAGTCCCACAAACGCCAAGGAGATAGCAAACCACCAAGGGCTCCTACACCCTATATTATATTCTCGTGCGTATCGAGGATTCCCCATGCTTAGTTGATGGTTTCTGTCCATAACAGACCCCCCCAACTCAACTCGTGTGAGTTTGTGCA